TTGTATAATTTTTCATTTGAGTATTATAAATTATTGACGCAAGAATGAATTTCTTGATACAAAAAATTGATACTCTTCGATGCTAAGAATGTGATATACAGTAGAGCCCCGCTTATCCGCGGAATTGGGTGGCAAGGGCGCCGCGGATAATAAAAATCGCGGATAACCCGAAAAAGACTAAAAATAAGGTGGAAACACAAAACATAATCCACCATAAAGACTATTTTACTTAAACCTTTCTTCTACATGTAAATCACTAAAGACTAAAGTAAAGACTAGTAATAAACAAAAAATAATATGTACATATGTATTGTATCACTGTACTGTGGACAAAAACTGTCAGTTAAATCTTTTTAAAAAAATCGGTCACTAGCTTTTGCTTCTTGCTTTGGAAGCACCTTTTCTTTATTCTGGATTGTACGTTCCTTAGCATAAGTTTTTCTGCCAGATGTGCGTCGTCTTGCTCCTCTAAATATTGAAGCAATCCGTCTACATGCTGCAAAGCAGTTTCATGTGTCATCCGCGCAAGCACCTCGCCTTCTTCACTTTCAATTTCTTCGTTTTCTTCGTTCACTCCCATTGCTTTGTTTGTTATTTCTACGTCAGATAGTCGTTCAAACCCTGGCTCATTTTTGTCACATTCCAGCCACTCTTCTATGTTTTCTTGATTTACATTCTCACCTCCCGGAACGGATGTCACTAAGTCAATAAGTGCAGCGATAGGCATATCTTCATTATGTTCTTCACCAATGTTTTGGTTGACATTTACTTCAATATTTGGAAAGAGTTTTCTCCACGATTTGACGAGGGTTGACGGTTTAATACAATCCCATGCAAACGCAATATCGTAAATGCTATCCAAAATTGTATACATCTTCCAAAGCTGCTTAAAATCGTAACCTTCTTCAATTTTTGTTTTTACCAACTTTGTTCTGTATATCCTCTTCACAGTTGCAATGACCCCCTGGTCCATAGGCTGTATGAGCGCAGTAACATTTGGGGGCAAAAACTTTGCAAAAATTTGTTCATCAGAAGATTTAAGCACACTTGCGGCAGGGTGTGAAGGCGCGTTGTCAATTAATAAAACGGCCTTTCTTGGTAAATTCTTTGAATCAAGGTGTTTACGTACTTGAGGCACAAAAATCTTTTCAAACCATTCTTGAAAAATCTGCTGGTTCATCCAACCTTTTTTTTGATTGAAATAATCGACTGGTAAATTGTCTGCTCTTGTCCCCTTAAAAGACCTTGGTTTCTTAGATCAACCGATTACAAGAAGTTTCAGTTTGTGGGTACCAGCAGCATTGCTGCATGGCAAGATTGTGATTCTTTCCTTGCTACTTTTGTGTCCTGCCGCTTTATGTTCACTTTCAAATGCTAAAGTGCGAGTGGGAAGACACTTCCAAAAAAGCCCTGATTCATCAGCATTATAAATTTGTTCTGGTGACAAATCTTCCGACATTACAAACTTTTCAAAATCACGTTGAAAATCGTCAGCTGCTTGTTGATCACCGCTCAGCTTTTCCCCATGAAGACCTATCTCCCTAATTCCATAACGTTTCTTAAAACGATGTAACCAACCGGACGACGCATCAAAATTTCCTTCCAGTCCTAACAAATCAAAGAAGACTTTTGCTTTAGCTGCAATGTTAGGACCGGATACAGGAGTGCCTTCACTTCGCTCTTGAGCTAGCCACTCCGCTAATGCCGAGTCAAGTTCACTGTACGTGGATTTCTTCATTGTTTTTCGTTTTTTCATGCCAGAAACACTGTTTGAAACTGTTGCAAAAGCCAATAACTTTTCTTTTTGCTTTAAAACATCTCGCACTGTTGTTTCCCCAATCCCGTATTGTAAACACATCTGCTTTCTTGATGCGCCATTTTCTATTTTAGAAATCATTTCTATTTTTTGTGGAGTCGTTAACACAACCTTCTTTCGTTTTTCAGCCATTATTTATTTCAGGAACAAACTAATAAACTGCTAATAACCACCGACAAAGAAACACGACTGTAGACGGTGTGACAAGTCGAAACACGCTTTAAAATGAGTCGAAACACACGTTCGTCTGATCAATATCGAGCGCAATTCGCATAAACACACTAGCACCCACGAACACATTTCGATATATAACGAAAATCAAATTAAATTTAAAAGAAAAGAATATTTCACGGCACTCGCGGATAATCGGGGCTCTACTGTACTTCATTCGATAATATTTCTATTCTTAAAACAAAAAAATATTTTTGAAATACATTCAAGAATAAATTTTTCTTGAAAGTCAAGAATAATTTCCCTCAGTGTAGCTCTAGTGTTAATTCTAGTTTTAATTGTTATTCAGCGCTAGATTGTTGTTAATTCTTATTGAACTAAAACTAGACCAAGAACTAGAAACATTCGGGTTTAGCCGTTAGTCTTTTAAGACGGCTAAATGCGAATGTTTCTAGTTCTAGGTCTAGTGTTAGTTCTAATTTTATATCATTAGAACTAACACCAGACCTAGAACCAGCAACATTCGTATTTAGCCGTCTTAGGCCCACTTTTACCACCTCTTGATAAATTTATCCGATAGATAAATCCAGAGAGTGCTTAAAACCGCCGTAACCATGGCAACTATCCCCTAGATAGTTTATCAGGAGGATGGTAAAAGTGGGCCTTAAAAGACTAACGGCTAAACCCGAATATTTCTTATTCTAGATCTAGCGTGTTACTTCTACTAATAGTATTAAGTTAATTCCAATTTTAGTTCTTATTCAGCACCAAATTATTTAAGATTAATACAAAAATCAATGTTGTTGTATGTATGTAGTTTCACGTGGGGGTGAGTTACTCACAGCACTTAGGCCCCAGCGGACCCTTTGTACGTCCCCACAATTTACTGTTCATTCAAGGGTCAGAAAACCAGCCCAATCTTTTCATGAACGTTAATATAGAACAGAAAGGTATGTTCCTTATATCCGAAATTTGGAGCCATGGTACTCCGAAAATAGATTCCCTTAAGTAGACGAGGTTTGGACAGTCACAAACAATATGACTTACCGTCTCGTCTTCCATTTCACACCCTCTACAGAGGGGTGTATTCGCCAGCTTCATGTAAAACATGTGCTTACGTAACCTGCAGTGTCCGGTCAGGAAGTGGGTGAGAATCAAGTCACTTTTCGATTTTCCCAGAAACTGAGTAGATGTCTTCCGGTCAGGGTAGAGCAGAGTTTTCTTAGCAAAGGCACCTACTGCTGTCCCATCCCATCTATCGCAAAAAGCTCGGTGTGAGATGGAGTTTATCAGTTTTGATGCTGTATTAACAGCTAGTGGTACAAACGGTTCAGGGGACAACCTGTCCGCATGATCATGTCCTTTAATTCCGATGTGTCCTTTTCGCCATTTTATCGTGACGTTGTTGTATACGTTTGCCTCTTCGAGTGATTGCCGACAGGACTTCACCAACGATGATGCAGTATGATGCCTGCCAACCGCCAGCATAGCCTGTCTGCTATCAGTACAGATTACAACGTTTCTGCCGACTTTTTTGGAGTCGATAATCGCATCGGCTGCTATGTTTATAGCAATTAATTCGGCTTGAGCAGTCGTGCAATACGATCCTAACGAAGTGGAAAGGTGCAGCTGGAGATCGTGCGAGAAGATTCCCGCTCCGGAACCTCCAGCCTTCTTTGATCCATCAGTGAATGACATCAGTGACATGAGTTGCTCTGGGGTATCGTTTCAATGCCAAAGTGTGGCTTGCCTAAGAAAGTAGGTGTAATGTAGTCTGTGCGAGCTTTAAGGAGGGGTTGTTTACTAACAGCCTCACTCCAGAGCTTGCTCCGGACTATTCCCATTTTAACAACCTGCTTTTCATTTACTGATCGCAACCGAAGCAATGCCATCACGGGCAGCACGTTTAACATAGTCTCCATTGCAATCGTAGGTGTAGATCTCATAGCGCCTGTGATTAGCAGGCAGGCCAGTCGTTGCAATTGATGCAGCAATGTAGCTTTATATGCATGTTTTAGTGCTGAGCACCAGACTATGGCTCCGTGAGCTACCATGGGTCTTATCACAGAAGTGTAGATCCACATTGTAACTTTCGGATTTAATCCCCAAGTATTCCCAATAGCCCTTCGGCACTTTGTCAGTACAATTGTTGCTTTTTTGATTTTGCAACTAATGTGTGATGTCCAAGTTAGTCCTTTGTCCAAGATAACACCCAGATATTTCACCTCTGGAGCAAAATCAATGTTGTTTTAAATCAAATTAATACATTTCATTTTCGATGAAAATTTTAATGGTACATACATTTACGTTTTACTTTCGATTTTAATCTTTTCGTTGTTGAAAATTGTCTATATACCGATAGTAATCACAACAAGCCCATAAAACTCGCTAATTGCATAACTGTTGTGTAGATATTATGTTAGATAACCACGGTTCCATATGTTTTCCAGTTGAATGTTATTAAGCGTATTTTTGGATTTTTTTTTGTACTTATCATCGCCCCTCTACTCCCACACAGTATGCTAAAAGTGTTTCTATTTCGATCAGGATACGGCTTAATTGATATTAACCGTAAACAATCCTTTCATCATCATATTTTTTTTTATGGTTTGTCGCGATGACTAATACGCGTTTCTTTTTCGTTGCAACTTTATGATTTATCGAAAGCCACACACTCGGTGAGAAATGCCGTTTCACAATAAACCCGATAATTATTAAACAATTCTAATCGCTGCGAAATGACGAAGTGGCAAGGTCAAAGAGCTTACAAAAGAAAACGTTATTTCCCTGACTATAAATGTACAATTTAAGAGGATTTCGTCGAAACTTGAAATGTCGAGCTTAAAATACTTAATGTAAAGAATATAAAGTTGTTTTTGAATTTATAAAAGTTTTAAGTTGTGCTTTTGATATACTAAAAAAGTTTTCGGTGGTAAACTAGCGATGACACTTAAGAATGGGATTTAAAAGTTTCATGTTTAAAATAAGACCATTTCTTTTTTTTTTTTTGCAGAATTATTCATGAAAGTGGTTTTACAAGCGAAGACTTCAAACAATATCGACCTGTAGTATATAGTAACACAATTCAATCCCTCGTTGCGATTTTGAGAGCGATGCCCAATTTGGGTATTTCATATGGAAGTAATGAGCGAGAGGTAAGTTATAGAAATTAATAAATTGTGTACAAAACTTTGAGTGCTCTTTATGCCATCAATTATATTTTGTTGATCCACAATTATCATACAAAGTATGTGTAATTTTATTTATAACCTCAGCGAAAATGATTATGAATGGAAATATTTGTATTCATAATTTATTAAATTATCAACAATGAATGTAATAGTAATTGATAGCCTTTTATATATTAAATTGGGATAATAAACGAAGAATTAAAACGATGAATATTTATTTACAAATTACCAGTGTTTACATGTAATTTGAAACAGCAAAGGAAATGGTGATATTTAGTTATTATTATTAATAAAATGATATTATTCGAAAACTGCAGTTTCAAAATAATTTTGATAATTATTAATTAATAATTCGTTCACTCTTACATCAATATATTAATATCATTTCGAAAGAGGTATTAAAAGGGGAAAACATTATTTGATTTTACTATACAGGGTGTCTCAGCGAGACCGGTCATTAGACGTTTCTGGGGTTCTTGCGAAAATAAAAATTTGAGAATTCAAACTTAAGTATTATCAATTACGATCTCTTCGACTAAAATATTTTTAGATTTCTTGCACTTCCGGTTATACGGGAAGTCGCCACCTTTATTTTTTTAAATGGAACACCCTGTATATTTTTACATATTTGGATTTGTCTGTTTTCAAGGTTTATAAATAACTTTACTTTTTGCAATTTGATTAGGCCATTCTCGAGTTATTCGAATTTTTCTAGAAAAATCTGCTCCAGCAGACATTTGTTCAAAAAATCAGAAAACACTCAATTTTTGGGATATCAATTTAGGATTGAGAACATGCTTAAGCAACATGATGGAGTATGTTTTGGTGCCGAGAACTGCGGTCTAGAACGTTTGATCACTTTACTATGGCACGTTAACTTTTCAAAATTTGGAAGTACCATAACTTCATTTTTTTAAATGGCACCCCCCATATTTTATTTTTTAGTCGTCTTCGGTGTCTCATTCTACATCTTTTATATCCCATATGGCCCATACCTAATATTAATAGTTTGGGAGATAATTAGGGTTTTTTGAAAAATGCACACATATCATATGGATATTTAGCCTAGTGTGCCATGAAAAACAAGCCTTCTCAATGAGTTCTTGTCAAAGACTCACTTGTTTACGTCACTTGATGCATGTGAGCTAATAATTATCTGTTATGTCCCTTAATATTAGTACTGAAACGAGTTAAAATCGATAACAATAACGAAAGTAATATTTACACAAATCAAGAAATTCTTAATTTATTTTTTTTGCATGAAAAGCGCGACAAAGTTCGTAGTATGATTCCCAGATCTTCTTTGGCAGCTCGAATTGAGGTGTTGGGACTGGGCTCGAAATAAGCCAAGGTATTCACCTCTTCCGTTGCATTATCTACTACATTTTTTGGTCAGTTTAACACGTGATTAATTCGTCCAAAATGCAAAAAATTTACTTCTATTCTTCTAAATTTACCTTTTGTCATCGGAGGTAAATGTGGATAATTTTCATTAAACATTCTGCAAGTTTTACTAAGAACTTTGTCGCACTTTTCGTGCACAAAAAATAAATTATGGATTTCTTCATCTGTAGAAACATTATTTACGTTATTAATATCCATTTTAACTGGTTTTAGACTCACAAGCATTAAACAACGTAAATCAGACTTTGACGTTTGTCAATAAGTCATTAAACATTTGTTTTCCATGGCACACTAGGTTAATATCGATATGATATGTGAGCATTTTTCAAAAAACCCTAATTATCTCCCAAAGTATTAATGTTAGGAATAGGACATATGGGATATAAAAGATGTAAAATGAGACGCCGAAGACGACTAAGCAATAAAATATGGGGGGTGCCATTTAAAAAAATGAAGTTATGGTACTTCCAAATTTCGAAAAGTTAATGTGCCATAGGAAAGTGACCAAACGTTCTAGACAGCCGTTCTCGGCACCAAAACATACTCCATCATGTTGTTTAAACATGTTCTGAATCCTAAACTGATTCAAGATTGGAAGAATCTTTTTATTTTACATGCGCATGAATGTTGCTGGTTCTACGCCTGGTATTATTTCTAAAGATATAAAACTAGAACTAACACTAGACCTAGAACTAGAAGCATTCGAGTTTAGCCTTTCGTTTTCTAAGATGGCTAAACGCGAATGTTGCTGGTTCTAGGTCTGGTGTTATTTCTAATGATATAAAGTTTATACTAATGATATAGTACATCTGAAGACGCACGGCTAAACCCGAAACTTTCTAGTTCTAGGTCTAGTGTTAGTTCTAGTTTTAACTGTTATTCAGCGCTAGATTATTGTTAATTCTTATTGAATTAAAACTAGACCAAGAACTAGAAACATTCGGATTTAGCCGTTAGTCTTTTAACTACCAAACCAATGCTATCTGTCAGTTAAGCTATCTATAAGATACAATTTATCTCGTAGATAACAGGGTCGTGCGTACTACCACCTCTATTTATCTCATAGTTAAGAAATCCTTGAGATAACCAAGGAATCTAGGGATTTTTTGGTCTATTAGGTTAAATTGATAGCTCTATGTGGTCAAAAGACCTACTATTAGGTATTTTGACGATATCCTAACCTGTTCTAACCTTAAAATTAAAATTTGGAAATAGAGACTGAGAAAAACCACCAATTTCATCAAAGAAGAATGCGAACATCTTCTTGAATTTGTTATCAAACATAAAAATGTAATAGAAAACAAAAAAAGTGATGCAGTTACATGACAAGGAATGCAAAAAGTGTGTATATCTCGTATTATTGTATGTTAAAATGTGATGGTAAACAATAATGGCACAACTAACATGATGAACGACTTTTTTTTTTTTTTCTATATTATACATAGCACAATTGTATAACACCTAGTAAATACATACTAATTAGTTACTTATTTTTAACACTAAATTAAACTAGATAATGTTTTGCAGCTTTTCCCAGTGGTCCAGTCTGCTTTTCCCATAATATAGATAAATATTGTCATATTTTTACCGTTTTAAGACCAAAACACAAAAACGCGCACTAGCTCACTAAATCGAACTTCTTCATCCGAACTTCAATCGAACAGCTGGATGGCCTCGATGTTGGGATAACCGTGCATTCTCTTCTCATGTTCACATGCAAATGATGCAATTTCTGATGACACCGATGCTACTTTCAAGTCGCGATGGAGGTCGGTGTTTCTTATATACCAAGGTGCATTCACTATGCACCTTAGTACTTTGTTCTTGAATCTTTGAATCAGACTTGCATTTGTCTTGCAGGTACAACCCCACAGTTGGCTTCCGTATGTCCATTTTGGTTTTAATACTTGTTTGTATATTAACAACTTGTTTCTTAGTGATAGCGTTGATTTTCTGCCAATAAGCCAATATAGGTGTCTAAATTTGATATCAAGTTCGTCACGTTTTTTTTTGACCTGAGCTTTCCATTTGAGTTTGGCATCCAGCGTCATACCAAGATATTTTGCCGATTGCATTGCCATTTATGTGTACTGGGACATAGTTTACTTTCTTGTAAGTAAAGTTTATGTATGTCGATTTATTTGCATTTAGTTTTATTAGCCATCGTTTGGTCCAGTTTTCTATTGAATTTAACGCCAATTGTAACTTATTTGCTGCAACTACTTCATTTTCTGCAACAGCCAAGATCGCTGTGTCGTCTGCGAATGTAGCTGTTAAAGTGTCTGGTACCTGAGGAAGGTCGAATGTGTAGAGTAAGTACAATGTTGGCTAAGCACACTTCCTTAAGGAACTCCGGCTCGTATTTCATGTATTGGTGAATAAGCGTTTTCGTATTTTACTCTAAAATATCGATCAGAAAGATATGATTTTAATAGTTGACTATACGTTGATGGTAGTATTTGGTCTAGTTTGTAATTTAAACCATCTAACCAGACTTTGTCGAAAGCTTGTGCAACATCCAAAAATACGGCAGAGCAGACTTTATTTTCTTTCATTGCTATTTCGATAGTATTCGTTATTCTATGCACTTGGTCTATTGTTGCATGTTTATTCCGAAACCCAAATTGATGTGTTGGTATTAGGGCTTTTTCTTCTATGACAGGTTTTAGTCTTTTTAATAGTAATTTTTCAAGCAGTTTTGATAGTAAGGGTAATAATGAGATTGGCCTATATGATGTAACATCTGTGAGGGGTTTACCAGGTTTTGGTATCATTATTATTTCAGCAACTTTCCATATGCTTGGGAAGTATTTCTGTTTAAAAGCAGCATTAATTATAGTAGTTAATAGTATAGTAGTAGTTATAGTAGTGTAATAGTTCTGTAATCGCCCGTTTTGGTAGATGTTTCTCCATTAATTAGGTCATACCCCACTGATTTCTTTACATTTAGTTTTTGTATTTCATAATACAGTTCTTTCGTTCTTACACATGGTATATTACTCTGCTGATCACTTTGAAATACGCTAGGGACACTATTTAGCATAGTTATGATGAACGACTGAAGATGCCAATTGTACACTGACTCCTGCAAAATCTGCTATGGATAGCAACATGTTACCTATTGCATAAAATCGAAGAGTCAGCAACAAACGGTTTGAAGGAGGTACAGCATTATTACTAAAATTTTGATGAATTTTACATTAAATAATGGCAATCAACAAATTACTTACGTCATGGATGGAGATTATATTACATCTTCTATTTGATTCAAAAGGTGATAAAAACTTTTTTTCGAGAGACGAAATCTCGTCATAAATTCAACATCCGAATGAATATTTAAATGGTCAACTCTACTCCTTATTATCCTTTCGCTTCTTATAGGAAATAATTGATTTCTTCAAAAATTTGTTCTTCATCTCCAATGTCGAAGAAATTATCCATGATGATTTTATCTAATGTTAATTATTAATAGTTTTTTTATTTAAGTTTATATTACTTTTCTTATTTTAACCGAAATAGTAAATTTTATACGTCAGTATAAATTCTATTTGAGGTTAGGTATCCGCAGTTATCCCTTAGATAGCAACTTATCCGACACCCAATCCACGGGTTACAGATATTTTAAAAGTTATCCCTTGGATAGCGGTATCTATAAGATAAATGCAGTGGTAGTAACCAATTTTTAAGCTATCCGATAGATAACGCTATCAGATACTTTAACTCTGGTTATCTTCTGGTTAAGCTATCTAAGGGATTATTACCATGATAACGGCTATTTTACGCGCTCTGATTGGCTAGTAGATGGGTTTATCTATAAGAAAAATTTAACTAAAAGATGGTAGTAATGGACCTAAGACGGCTAAATCCGAATGTTGCTGGTTCTAAGTCTGGTGTTAGTTGAAATTGCTTGTTCTAGAATATTCTAGATCTCTTGTTAGTTCCAGTGGTAATGTTAAGTTAATTCAAATTTTAGCAAAGGAAATATTTAGTTATTATTATTAATAAAATGAAATTATTGTTCGAAAACTGCAGTTTCAAAATAATTTTGATAATTATTAATTAATATTATTATTTCACTCTTACATCAATATATTAATTATCATTTCGAAAGAGGTATAAAAGAGGAAAACATTAATTTGATTTTACAACACCATATACTCCACAATTAAATAGAGCATGCAAACAAAGGAATAATGGAAAAGGCGAGAAATTTTAATTTTAATGCAAGATTGGAAAAACCTTTTTAGGGAGAACCACTCCGAGTTAGTGCTACTTAACTCTCGTTGCTTATGGTTCCTTTTTTCAGAATGCTTATTTACACGCGCATGAAAATTGGTACTGGGGATTCATACTTCTTGAACAATCAGAGTCTTCGCAGCATCATCATAATGAGTTATGAAACGCACCTTTTTATGTCACGTAGAAGTCGTATTTTCTTTCTTAGTTTTTATCCAGGTTTATTTAATAAAATTAATTATTCGACGACTAGTATTTCTTATGGTTTGGATGGTGCACTTTTCTCCTATGGCTCTACAGCCCAAAACCTATGCCTTTGATATTTTTTAGCGTTGCTTTTTCACAGATTTCTTTCTCTGCATTTGTGCATTAAATGCCTTTTTGGAAGTCTTCCTTCCTTCATTCTTACCACATGTCTTGCCCACTTCAACCTTTGTATTCTTATGAATTCTGAGAGGGTGACATCTTCGAAAAGTTGATATATCTCAATATAAATCCCTTGCATCCTAAAACCAGAAAAGCTAACTTTCTCACAAACTACACTGTTGGACATAATTCACGAGGACACCCTATATAATCTGAACGCGTGAAGATAAATCCATAATATTTGCGGAGCACAAAGGTTTACTGTAGACGAGTTTATTCAGGGAGTTTCGAGTTGTTCCGTCGCGGCATTGGTGACTGAGCCGCCCTTCCAAGTGGAACATTCCGTCGCTATGGAGACCGAAGTGGATGGAAAATACCGGTCGTTTTTAGTGTGGTGTGAAGGACCACATTGTTATCGTACTCTCTGCGCAATGGATGGGCGATCGCGTTACTTAAGCGAGTTTGTGCGAGGAATGTTTGTGGGTATGTACATTGAGGGTGTATCGTTCTGTAAAATTGCGCGTCGTCTAGAGCGGTCGTTATCGGCAGTGCAACGGCCATGGTGAGAATGGTCTGAGGTAGGACATAGGTACCTTCAGCCGCGGCCCCAGCACACGAGGATTGCACTCTTGTGCTCAGCGCTTTAGCGTCGTGTGCGTCCTCCTCAAGGCAACTTGGAGCTGTTTGGCCACCGGCAGGAGAAGGCGCACTCACTACGCGAACTGTATGGCGGCGTTTGGTAGATAATGAACTGCGCGCGCGTCATGCGATACAGCGCATTCCAGTAACACCCGAGCACCGCAGCATACGTCACGAGTGGGTCGACGCTAGGCATTAGTACGTTGCCGAGTAGAGAGACATTTTGTTTTCCGACGAATCAAGATTCGAATTGAGCACCGATGATGCGCGAATTTTAGTTCGTCGGAGACGTGGTGATCGTCTACTCGAGTAGTGCGTGCAAGAATGCCCTATCAACCGAGCATTATGGTATGGGGTGCTATTACACATGGTGGACGTACACGTCTGCTGCGTGTATAGCAGACCATGACGGGTCAACGATACGTAGATGAGGTGCTACGGTCCGTTGTGCTTCCCTACGTTCGGCGGCGCCTAGGTCTGCTATACATGCACGACAACGTCCGAACGCACATCGGGCGTATTGTACAGACCTTTGTGGAAGAGCACCGTATACGAATGCTTCCGTGGCTAGACCGTTTTCCGGATCTGAATCCAATCGAACATGTTTGGGACATGACTGGTCGGAGATTTCTATGTTATCCGGCTTCCTCGGCTAACGTTGAGGAGCTATGGAGGCGAGTTGAGGTGGCATAGTTGGCCATCCCTCTTGCTACAATACAGCGACTTATAGACTCCATGCCACGTCGTGTAGCGATGGTACGCGAAGCTCACGGGGGATACTCTCGCTATTGATGTTTCTCCTCCCAGCAGAGTTGTGCCGCTCTCCTTGTGAGAGTAAGTTACACTACTTTAGTACTACTTCCATACCAAATTTTATTGCGCTAGACACACGCGTTCAGATTATACAGGGTGTGCTCGTGAATTATTTCCAACAGTGCATTTCGTTAACATTTGCAAATCCATGCTAAATATCAACCCATAATAAGCTGAAATTTTCCAATAAACCCAGAACTTCCTCGACTAACGAGTCTTCCAACATATCTTGACGAGATCATTGCAGCATCTGTTAACTATTTAGAGTCTCAGGAAGTGATGACATCTAAAATATGCCAAAAAATTATCTCTCTGTCTATTAAGACAGCTGTTAATGTGGAAACAACAACCATAAACTGAAAACCAAGAAAAGACTTTAATATTCTTCTGCCATTCTAACAAACACCATCCCTATCTAATCCAAAACTGTAAAGAGTTATTCACAATCTTATTTATATCGTTTCCTCTCTTTTAATCATTTTTATACCAGAATCAGAAACTTTTAATTATAAAAGTAAAACGTAATTTTTTAAAATTGTAACAGAAATAGATTTTTTCGAATCGGTTTTTAGAAAACAAAGTTAATTCGATATCGCTTCAGGTCATGCAATGCAAAAAATAGAAGGAAAAGTTCTGACACGCGACTATATAATTAGGGTAATTGTTTAATATAACTGTACCAATCCTCCGGGTGCTATTCCGGGCAAATACCTACTCATTTCTGTCAATATCTTTTAACAGCTATTTAACATGAGAAGGTCAATTCACCCTTTGTCCACCATTTATCAATATTAAGAAACAGAAATGAGGAATTAAATCTTGTTAAATTCTCTCAATTTCAACTCGTATCTAAACAAAGAACTTATCTCCACGGTTAAAATATGCTCACAGCGAAGAAACACATAAATATTTATTTTCCAAAAATACACATTTTGGGTGTTTATTTTTTTTATTTAAGGTTCGATGGTCTTAAAATTATTTTCCTTCGTTTCTTTTTCTTCAAACAAAAGAAAAATGTGCCAAGCCCATATTGCACTAATAAAACAAAAATGTTACTCCTAACTTAATAAACACCAACAAATTTGCTTTATAAACTTGTTTCTTTTCTTCCGGATGGAAACCATTAATTTTCAAGCATTTCGATATACGCCAAGATAGCGGCCACTATCTTGATGCCCGCTTCATAAAACCATTTATTAAATAAGGGGAAGGAAATTGTTTCGTTCTCATTTATCACTCCAAGGATTCGAATTATGTTTTTCTTTTCCTTTCGTTGCATTCCCATAAGACATACTGTTTATTATTAAAAGCAGCATTCAAAGATTGTAATTAACTTGATAATTAGAGTACAGAGAAACATGTATGAGCCTCTTCATATCTATAATTAATTCATAAAAGATATAACACTACCTTGTTTCATTACATTTCTTATTTTTTAGATGGATGGTAAAATGGTATTCGATGTTATCCAACGAATGGAAGATACCGAACCATTTTCAGAAGAACTTTTAGCGGCTATGAAACGATTATGGGCCGATACAGGAGTTCAAGAATGTTTCGGTCGTTCCAATGAATATCAGCTCAACGATTCCGCCAAATAGTAATTAATACGATTTAAATCATAATTTCAAAATACGATTAATATGTTATTTTTAGCTTCTTAGATGATCTCGATCGATTAGGCGCTAAGGATTATCAACCAACCGAACAAGACATTCTACGTACTCGCGTTAAAACCACCGGAATAGTAGAAGTTCATTTTTCATTTAAAAATCTTAATTTCAAGTAAGAAAAATCACTTTCCCCTACTAATAAATATTCATTAATACATGCTTTTTAGATTATTCGATGTTGGTGGTCAAAGATCAGAACGAAAAAAATGGATTCATTGCTTCGAAGACGTAACAGCGATAATCTTTTGTGTTGCAATGAGCGAATACGACCAGGTTTTGCACGAAGATGAAACGACGGTAAGGCTTTTAATAGATTTTAGGAGATGGCGCTGGTTAATACAGAGAATTATTAAAATTGTTTTTTTTTTTTTAATTTTCGGATTGCTTTCGTTCATTAACAATGAAATTGACTTTTTATTGGAAGTGAACGACTGAAATTTTCGGGGTTTATTCTCATACACCCACACTTCTCGAATATCAATAAAACACAACCTGCGCAATTCCATTTTGCACTCGCATCATTACGTTTCGCCTACGATTTTATAGAGTGCGTGCTAATTATATAGTATATATATTTTTTTTATTTCCTCCCTAACGAATAAACCACAAATGTACCACAGCCAATACGCGGTTTATTTTATAATAACTTTCAAAACTACAATGTAACAATTTTTCTCTATGTATATATATTTTTTTTTTCATTTTTGTTGTGAAATATATTAATCCGTATCGGTGTCACATAGGAAATACGGGTGAACTAACTTGATTGACACGTCGAGATCCGACGTTTTCCGATATGACCCCGAGAGACTATAACCATGGAGCCTATAGCGTTTGATTTCGATAACGTTCGAACGTAATTAAACAGAATCTAGTTGAGATACGAGACCTGTTTTGACTCGGGATGATCGTGTGGGTGGTGCGGCCGTTATCTTTGTTGATTTATTATTGATTTTTGTTTAGTTTTGAACTCGCTGGACGCAAAACGGATCGTTTGTTATAGTATCGAGAATAGATTTATTAAAACAATTCATTTATCATTTCAAAAACTATAGAGGAGTAATGTTTAAAAATTCATTTATGAAATTAACAACGATTATAAAGGAAAGTATATGAATTCTCAATATGAAAAGAAAAAATCGTGGAAAGTCGAATGCTTAAGATATCTTTATGATATGTTCTAGAAGTATTGAGGAAAGTACTATTCGTTTTTGAGATATTAATTATTGAATTTTTATGATTTTATGAAATGAACATTTTTTTCCAACGTTTTTAAAAAAATTGTGAAAAATCGAGTTCTTAAGATATCGTTATGAAATGTTCTGGACTTGTATGGGAAAGTCTGTACTTTTTTGTGAACAAAATCGTATTTGTAAATCTCTATTCGTTTTAAAGATATTAATTACTGAATTTTTATGATTTCATGAAATAAACAAATTTTTTTCATCGTATTTGAAAAAATCGTGTAAAAACGAATTCTTAAGATGTTTTTATGAAATGTTTTGGACGTATAGAGAAAAGTACGTACTTTTTCGCAAACAAAATCGTATTTAAAAATCTCTATTCGTTTTTGAGATATTAATTATTGAATTTTTATGATTTCATGAAATGAACAATTTTTTTCCAACATGTTTAAAAAATCGTGAAAAATCGAATTCTTAAGATATCTTTATGAAATGTTCTGGACGTATAGAGGAAAGTACATACTTTTTCGTAAACAAGCCCGTATTTAAAAATCTCTATTCGTTTTTGAGATATTAACTATTGAATTTTTATGACTTTATAAAATGAACAAATTTTTTCATTATTTTATAAAAATCGTAAAAAATCGAATTCTTAAGATATCTTTATGAAATGTTCTGGGCGTATAGAGGGAAGGACGTACTTTGTCGCAAACAAAACCGTATTTAAAAATCTCTATTCGTTTTTGAGATATTAACTATTGAATTTTTATGATTTTATAAAATGAACAAATTTTTTCATTATTTTATAAAATTTGTAAAAAATCGAATTCTTAAGATATCTTTATAAATTGTTCTTGACGTATAAAGGGAAGGACGTACTTTTTCGTAAACTAAACCAGATTTGAAAATCTCTATTCGTTTTTGAGATATTAATTATTGAATTTTTATGAAATGAAAAAATTTTTTCATTGTTTTATAAAAATCGTAAAAAATCGAATTCTTAAGATATCTTTATGAAATGTTCTGGACGTATAGAAGGAAGGACGTACTTTTTCGTAAACAAGCCTGTATTTAAAAATCTCTATTCGTTTTTGAGATATAGATTATTGAATTTTTATGATTTTATGAAATGAACAATTTTTTTCCAACGTGTTTAAAAAATCGTGAAAAATCGAATTCTTAAGATATCTTTATGAAATGTTCTGAACGTATAGAGGAAAGTACATACGTTTTCGCAAACAAAACCGTATTTAAAAATCTCTATTCGTTTTTGAGATATTAATTATTGAATTTTTATGACTTTATAAAATGAACAAATTTTTTCATTATTTTATAAAAATCGAATTCTTAAGATATCTTTATAAATTGTTCTTGATGTATAAAGGGAAGGACGTACTTTTTCGTAAACTAAACCAGATTTGAAAATCTCTATTCGTTTTTGAGATATTAATTATTGAATTTTTATGACTTTATAAAATGAACAAATTTTTTCATTGTTTTATAAAAATCGCAAAAAATCGAATTCTTAACATATCTTTATGAAATGTTCTGTACGTAGAGAGGACAGTACGTACTTTTTCGTAAACAAACACGTATTTAAAAATCTCTATTCGTTTTTGAGATATTAAGTATTGATTTTTTATGATTTTATAAAATGAACAAATTTTTTCATTGTTTTATAAAAATCGTAAAAAAATCGAATTCTTAAGATATCTTTATGAAATGTTCTGGACGTATAGAGGAAAGTACGTACTTTTTCGCAAACAAAACTGGATTTGAAAATCGCTATTCGTTTTTGAGATATTGATTATTGAATTTTTATGATTTTATGAAATGAACAATTTTTTTCCAACGTGTTTAAAAAATCGTGAAAAATCGAATTCTTAAGATATGTTTATGAAATGTTCTGGACCTATAGAGAAAAGTACGTACTTTTTCGCAAACAAAACCGTATTTAAAAATCTCTATTCGTTTTTGAGATATGGATTATTGAATTTTTATGATTTTATGAAATGAACAATTTTTTTCCAACGTGTTTAAAAAATCGTGAAAAATCAAATTCTTAAGATATCTTTATGAAATATTCTGGACGTATAGAGGAAAGTACGTACTTGTTCGTAAACAAAACCGTATTTAAAAATCTCTATTCGTTTTTGAGATATTAATTATAGAACTTTTATGATATTATGAAATGAACAATTTTTTTCATCGTATTTGAAAAATCGTGAAAAATCGAATTCTTAAGATATCTTTATGAAATATTCTGGACGTATAGAGGAAAATACGTACTTTTTCGTAAACAAGCCCGTATTTCAAAATGTCTATTCGTTTTTGAGATATTAATTATTGAATTTTTATGATTTTAAGAAATGAACAATTTTTTTCCAACGTGTTTAAAAAATCGTGAAAAATCGAATTCTTAAGATATCCTTTTGAAATGTTCTGGACTTGTGCAGGAAAGTATGTACTTTTTCGTGAACCAACCCGTTTTTGAAAATCTCTATTTGTTTTTGAGATATTAAGTATTGAATTTTATGATTTTATAAAATTAACAAATTTTTTCGTCGTCTTTAATTAATCGCAAAAAATCGAATTCTTAAGATATCCTTACAAAATGTTCTGGACTTATATAGGAAAGTATGTACTTTTTCGTGAATAAAACCGTATTTGAAAATCTCTATTCGTTTTTGAGACATTAAATATTGAATTTTTATGATTTTATGAAATTAACAAATTTTTTCGTCGTCTTCAATCAATCGCAAAAAATCGAATTCTTAAGATATCCTTACGAAATGTTCTGGAATTATATAGGAAAGTATGTACTTTTACGTGAAAAAAGCCGTATTTGAAAATCTTTATTTGTTTTTGAGATATTAAGCATTGAATTTTTATGATTTTATTAACAAATTTTTTCGTCGTCTTTAATCAATCGCAAAAAATCGAATTCTTAAGATATCCTTACGAAATGTTCTGGAATTATATAGGAAAGTATGTACTTTTTCGTGAACAAACCCGTTTTTGAAAATCTCTATTCATTTTTGAGATATTCATTACTAAACCGTAGGACTTGGAACATTAAATTTTAAAATATCTTGAATTCACGAATTAGTACATGACTAACTCTGCACTAACACTAAAACGTTATCTTATATAAGCTGTAATGCTTTGCTAAAGTGGATTGTTTCCACAGTAAATTTTAAAATTGTTCGCTTTCCGTTTGGACAGAAGGATTATAAACTGTCCGAGTCCACACTCCCTCACGGTCTCTGCATTTAGTAATTTAATATTTAGTAATCCGTAGTTTTAAATCCTCGAAATTTAACCATCGCGATGAAACTACTAATCTACTATGTAACATATTCTCATTCTCTAAAAATATAATTCACGCAGAGACTATATATAAAAATTTTATACACATCATTTAATTTAATTCGAAATAAATCGTTAGGAAATTCTTCATCTGTTTCATGTAATTTTTGTAATAGTCCTTTTCACAATGTTGTAGGTTATTAAATATTATAGGTTACGATATCGACCGGTGGTTTAGCTGAATTTTATAATACTACCATATAACCCAGGTCATGTATAATGACCCCAAATCAAATTTAAAATTCTCAACTCCTAGTTCTTGTTTTCTTTAATAAACCCAATTTATTATTACAAATTAATTTTCTCTTTTCAATTTTAGAATCGCATGCAAGAAAGTTTAAAACTGTTCGATTCGATCTGTAATAACAAGTGGTTTACGGATACGTCGATAATTTTATTTTTGAATAAAAAGGATCTTTTTGAGGAGAAAATTCGGAGGTCACCATTAACGATATGCTTCCCGGAATATGCCGGTAAATAAAATAAAATTGAAAACGCCTTATAATCGTTTTAATTGTGTAACGTTGTTTTTAGGTGCCCAAGAATACGGAGAAGCTGCAGCTTATATTCAGGCGCAATTTGAAGCGAAAAACAAATCAACAACCAAAGAAATCTACTGCCATATGACATGTGCGACGGACACACACAATATACAGTTCGTTTTCGACGCGGTAACCGATGTTATCATAGCAAACAATTTAAGAAACTGCGGTCTTTACTAAAAAAATAATAATAACTAAGATAAATAAAAAAAGCATGGATGGAACGGGAACGAAACGGGCACCGTTTTTATTTTTTTCGTTCGTTTCGATCGCGATTTAAAAAAATAATAATAAATTCACGGACAACAGCAAATTATATCTTATACATACATTATATATATTATATATACATACAAAAATATATATACACACACGTAAACACACTTTCACAGTTCTGCTAGAATACATCATTTTCAAAAAGGAAAAACTCAACTAAAAAAAGAATTAAATAAAGTTGGAAATTTTCTTAATACAAGCAGAACATAAAAACTGGATCTTCAGCGAAAACTTTTTAAAGCAAAATAATTAATCATGACTAATTAGCGATAGAAGGAAGAAAGAAAATAATGTGTCTGTATATTTTCGTGAATCATTCTCTCATATAACCAGGTAAATTATATTGTATTATTAAATAGTTAAGCGATGCGAATCGCAGCTCGATAAACAATAAACGAGAGGAGCAAAAATTCTTGATAAAAAGGTGAAAAACAATAATAATCACTCAAAAAATTCTATTTGCACAAATTATCCAAGTCATTATTATTTTTTTTTTAATTTTGTCATTCTAATTAAAATTTTAAAAAAGAAAATTAATGAAATATAGGGTGTTTTTGAATTATCTTAGATTTATTTGATTCTAGCATATTCCAAAAGATGGAGTTGTAAAATTTTCTTTAAATTTAATTGGAAAACACTCTGTATTATCTATAAATTATCGATGTGTATTATAAATAACAATTTTACCAAAGTTTTTTTATTAATTAAAAGACTATTAGTGTTCTTTTACGTTCAAGCGCCGAAAAGTTATCATAAAAAAAAATTATTATCGATTTAAATGGAGTCAAAAATTGTGCTTTTCTGTGCTAAGACAAAAAAATGTTTTTTCGTAAGGTTGGTGTTAGTGGAATCATAATCCTTTTTGAGATGGGGAGAAAGAGTTTTTTAATCGATACAATGTTAATAAATTTTGCAAAAAAGTTTTATTACAAAAAAGATTACGCACATAAATGAAATAATATAATAAATAAAGTAATTAATTTATTTTTTTTCTCGATCTATTTATTATTATTATTATTAACATTGTTTTGTTTAAAAATTCTAGAAAATAATGAGGCTTTTCATGCACAAATATTAAAATAAACAACAAAAAAAAAAGGAAAATATTAAAACATGCATTGTGCCATATAGATTTTGCATTTATATTAAAAAAAAACTATATCATTGTATCTCTAGTTGATAAATGGAAAAAGCTTTTATTAAATTATTACAATTTTTTATTATTTTTTTTTTAAATGAATTAATTTTGTTTTCCGTTTTTTCTGTTTACATATATTTTTTTTTGTAATTATTATACGATTGTTATTTATGTTTTTAGTTTTTAGGAAAAGTGTATATTTGTCGACAAATAAACCCTTTGAAAATATTAATTAAGTAAAAAAAAAACGGAAATCGAACCAAAAACAAAGAATACAAACTATTTCAAGGCTCAAAAAAGAAAAAAAATTGTAGAAAAATAAAAACAAATTGATAACAAAACCAAATAAAAAGAAAATTAATGAAAATTAATTTTTTTTTGAAATCAGGAAAATAAATTAAGTGTAATTTGAAAATAAATACGAAATCTAATTAATAAGTTAAAAAAAAAAAAACAGAAAAAGATAGATTTTAATAAACTATAAATAATTATTATTCTGCTTTTAGAGTGCATTGTAATAAGCGCCAACTATCTTTTTTCAATTTATTTCTATCGCATCAATAAAAAAATAATCACTAAAATCACGCATACAACTCAAAAAATGGACCATATTAAAATAATCTTAAATAATTTTTTTTATATACTTTGAAATAGACATTCCCATAATTTTTATTTTTATTTTATTATTTTTTTTTTATTTCAGTGGACGACAAAAAAGAACATTTTTTTAATATAATTTTCTAGTCAAAATAACAATAAAATAAAGAAAACGCACATTAATAAAAAAAAGAAATATTTTGTCTTATATTTTCATTATTTTATACTATATCTTTAAAAAAAAACGCATAATAAGAGAGTGAGATCAATATTTATGTTAAATTTAAATATCAGGAGTGAAAATTATATTATAATCAACTTCAGATATTTGAATATAACCTCGATTGAGGACAAGAAATAAGAAGAACCAAATAATTTTTAAAAATAATATTTAAATTCATAAAAATAATACGGTAAAGTGTCGGTTCTCAAAATATCTCATCTAACATTCTCATCCCTTAAATTCCAACTTTCTATGTTATACATGATCTATGTTTGGCTCCTATTTTTATCCCTCAATCAATATGAATGGTAAAACTAATCAATGTGTTGAAATCGTTTATGGAGAATATTTTTGAGCTAATAATCATTTTCATATATCTCTTTATTGTTGAGTAATACCCGATTTTTGTGTTAAAAACGTCAATTTTGAAAATGATCATTTTTTAATTGAATTAGGTTGGTAAAACTAATCGGTGGAATAAATCGTTTACAAAATATGTTTTTTAGGGTAATAATGAACAACTTTTGTCCCAATCATTTTCTTATATCTCTTTTTTGTTGAGTAATAACTAGTTTTTGTGTTAAAAACGTCAATTTTGAAAATGATCATTTTTTAATTGAATTAGGTTGGTAAAACTAATCGGTGGAATAAATCGTTTACGAAATATGTATTGTAAGGTAATAAGGAACAACTTTTGTCCCAATCATTTTCTTATATCTCTTTATTGTTGAGTAATAACCGATTTTTGTGTTAAAAACGTCAATTTTGAAAATAATCATTTTTTAATTAAGTTAGGTTGGTAAAATTAATCGGTGGAAGAAAATCCTTAACAAATATGTATTACAGGGTAATAAGGAACATTTTTGGTCCCACTCATTTTCTTGTATCTCTTTTTTGTTGAGTAATAACCGGTTTTTGTGTTAGAAACGTCAATTTTGAAATTGATCATTTTTTAATTAAATTTTGGGTTGGTAGAATTGAGCCACGTAATAAAATCTATTACAGAATCTGTTTTTATGTTAATAAGGAACATTTTTTGTCTGAATCATTTTCTTCCATGTTCTTTTATTGTTAAATAATAACCGGTTTTTGTATTAAAAACGTCAATTTTGAATTTGATCATTTTTTAATTAAATTAGATTGGTAAAACTAATCGGTGGAATAAAATCGTTTACAAAATATGTTTTTAGGGTAATAAGGAACAACTTTTGTCCCAATCATTTTCTTATATTTCTTTATTGTTGAGTAATATAACCAGTTTTTGTGTTAAAAACGCCAATTTTGAAAATAATCATTTTTTAATGAAATTAGGTTGGTAGAATTGACCCATGTAATAAAATCTATTACAGAATCTGTTTTTATGTTAATAAGGAACATTTTTTGTCTGAATCATTTTCTTCCATGTCCTTTTATTGTTGAATAATAACCGGGTTTTGTATTAAAAACGTCAATTTTGAAAATGATCATTTTTTAATTGAATTAGGTTGGTAAAACTAATCGGTGGAATAAAATCGTTAACAAAATATGTTTTTTAGGGTAATAAGGGACATTTTTTGTCCCACTCATTTTCTTGTATCTCTTTTTTGTTGAGTAATAATCGGTTTTTCAATTTTGCAATTAATCATTTTTTAATGAAATTAGGTTGGTAGAATTGAGACATGTAACAAAATATATTACAGAATATGGTTTTAATGTTAATAAGGAAAATTTTTTGTCTCAATCATTTTCTTCCATGTTCTTTTATTGTTAAATAATAACCGGTTTTTGTATTAAAAACGTCAATTTTAAGAATGATCATTTTTTAAATGAATTAGGTTGGTAAAACTAATTGGTGGAATAAAATCGTTTACAAAATATGTTTTTTAGGGTAATAAGGGACATTTTTTGTCCCACTCATTTTCTTGTATCTCTTTTTTGTTGAATAATAACCAGCTTTTGTGTTAAAAACGTCAATTTTGAAAATGATCATTTTTAATTAAATTAGGTTGGTAAAACTAATCGATGGAATAAAATATGTATTATAGGGTAATAAGGAACAACTTTTCTCACAATCATTTTCTTATATTTCTATATTGTTGAGTAATAACCGATTTTTGTGTTAAAAACGTCAATTTTAAAATTTTTTTAATTGAATTAGTTTGGTAAAGCTAATCGGTGGAATAAAATTGTTTACAAAATATGTTTTGTAGGGTAATAAGGAACAACTTTTGTTCCAATCATTTTCTCATATCTTTTTATTGTTGAATAATAACCAGTTTTTGTGTTAAAAACGTCAATTTTGAAAATGATCATTCTTTAATGAAATTAGGTTGGTAAAACTAATCGGTGGAATAAAATCGTTTACAAAATATGTTTCTTAGGGTAATAAGGGACATTTTTTGTCCCACTCATTTTCTTGTATCTCTTTTTTGTTGAGTAATAACCGATTTTTGTGTTAAAAACGCCAATTTTGAAAATAATCATTTTTTAATAAAATTAGGTTGGTAGAATAGAGCCATGTAATAACATCTATTACAGAATATGTTTTTTGTGTTAATAATGAACATTTTTTGTCTCAATCATTTTCTTCCATGTCCTGTTATTGTTGAATAATAACCAGTTTTTGTATTATAAACGTCAATTTTGAAACTAATCATTTTTTAATGAAATTAGGTTGGTAGAATTGAGCCATGTAATAAAATCTATTACAGAATATGTTTTTTATGTTAATAATGAACATTTTTTGTCTCAATCATTTTCTTTCATGTCCTTTTATTGTTGAGTAATAACCAGTTTTTGGGTTAAAAACGGCAATTTTAAAAATGATCGTTTTTTAATTGAATTAGGTTGGTAAAACTAATCGGTGGAAGAAAATCGATTACAAAATATGCTTTTTAGGATAATAAGGAACATTTTTTGTCCCAATCATTTTCTTATATCTCATTATTGTTGAGTAATAAAAACGTCAATTTTGAAAATGATCATTTTTTAATGAACTTATTTTGGTAGAATTGAGCCATGTAATAACATCTATTAGAGAATATGTTTTTTATGTTAATAAGGAACCTTTTTATCCTAAACATTATCTCCCACCTTCTTTTATTCTTCAGTTATAATCACTTTTTATGTCAACTTTATTTTTCATTGACTAATGTCGTTGGCATAAATTTGAAATCCACCATCCAGAGGCTACATATTTTGACCGATTCTATCAAAACTCAACTTCTTATCACTTTTCTCCCAGTCCATGATAAGAAGCATCATCTGTTAGATTCTTTAATTTCAAATATTCACGTTTTAGGAGCCAAAATAAGATTGTAAAATTCGATAATCGACACTTTACTGTATATATAAAAACAAGGAGACCTTTATAAAGTTTATAAATAAAACAATGCTAAAACGAATAAATAGTAACTAACTTACTTTTTAGCTTGTAATTTCGAACAGGTACTATTATTACTAACTAAAATTTAAAATAAAAAGCAAAGAAAAAATTCTAATCTAATTCCATAATTTTAGATTAAAAAAAAATAGTCTTTTTCGGTAACCATATGAGATGAGGGTATATGATATATTGTAAACGGTGTATTGCATATCTACACTCGTAAATGTGTAGTCCAAAATGGACACTGTAATCCTCCAGTTCTTAATTATTATTACAAATCATTTATTTATTTAAAATGGTGAAATTAAATTTTTTTTGGAAATATATAGGAAATTGAGTAAAGTTTTAATCTAAATTCTACATGATTTTCTATGTTTTTACAAAAAGAAATGTTGCAATTTTACAATAAAAAGATTTTAAAAGAAAAAAATTACTTTAAGAAGGCAACAACTTTTAAAACTAAACAAAATCTAAACCTTAAAAATGCTACTACTACTACTAAAAGAATGAAAATAGGAAAATACATTTTTGCCTTAGAAAACACACATTTTAGCCGCTGTATCATTATAATTCGGTATTTCGCTGAGATATTACCAAAGGTGTAAACTAAAATAACTTTTAAAAAAATCCTTACGAAAAGATTGAGAAAATAACGTAATCTTAACATACATTCGTAAATATAATCGTAGATTTAGTTGTATTTTAGAGGAAAAACTAGTTGATGTGAAAAAATCATGTAATAAAAATAAAATAAATAAACGAAATGTGTAGAGATTAAGGTTCAAGAAAGTTATTAATCTTAAAAAAAGGTGAAAAACAATTATGATGTATGTTAAAAAAAGTGGACGTGTTTGGTAAAATTTCAACGGGATAACTGCCAATCAATGTATGTTGTACATTTTTTACAAAAAAAAATAATACATAAATCTGACTACGCGTACATATTCTTAATTATAATAAAAAGTAATTATTATATTAAAATATTATGTAATTCTGTAAACGTTGCTCACGTCTCTCCGGTAAGGAAAAAAATTAAAAAAAGAAGAAAAAAAAAGCGTTGAAACATTTTTCTTTTAAATTCCTTACAAATTCTTAAAATAATAAATAATAAAAAAATAATTTCTGTTTTCTCTTTACTTTTTAATTTATTAATTTTATTAAATTTTGGTACGCGTGCACCTGCTTTAAAACCTTGCTTCTTATTTATTAACAATTATCAATATTTAATTAAAAAAAAATTACACACGATAAATCTAAAAAGTAATGATAAGGTTATTTATGATTATTATAAACTATGAATTTAAAAAATGCATACAAAAAAATAATAATCATAAAGTGAATGAAAAAGGAAAGAAGCAAAAAAACTAATTAATAAAATAAAAAAGCTGAAATGATGTACATGTTTTCCAAAATATCAGTAAATGTAACAGTCATTAAATTGAGGTTGTTTCTCATTGTATGTTTGTTTCTCTGTGATGTGAACATGATAAAAATAAATTTTACCCATTTCGAGATTTAGATATTTTTCTTTTAAAAAACACTGTATGATAAAGTTATCAACAAACAAAAGTTACAGAAGATCGTAAGAACTTACAGAAAATATAAACAAGCGGTAAGTATGTAATAAGTTTAGAAAAAGCTTAATCTTTTCTTCATCTAAAATTGAATTATCCTGATATTATGACATCAACAATAAGAAAGTTAGGGAGCTTTAACATTTACGTCACATACGATAATTATACGCGGATTTTGCAGTTTTTTAGGGGAAAATGCTTGTACAACCATGCGATCTACTAAAGTTATATACCACTGTATAGAGCGAGAAATTTCCTACAAGTTCTATATGTTGAAGTAGTTTTGTCCGTATCATATAAGAAAGTTATGGAGCTGCAATATTTACATTACATACGGTAATTATACGCGGATTTTCCAGTTTTTAGGGAGAAAATTCTGATTCAACCATGCGATCTACTAAGATTATATACCACTGTATAGAGCAGAAAATTTTCTACTAATTCTATAGAGTCTAGCAATTTTGTTCGTATCATATAAGAAAGTTATGGCGCTGTAAACATTTACATACGGTAAATATACACTGATTTTGCGGTTTTTAAGGAGAAAATTTTTATGCCACCATGCGATGTACTAAGGTTATATACTACTATATAGAGCGGAAAATTTCCTACAGATTCTATATGGTCAAGCAGTTTTATCCGTATCATATAAGAAAGTTATTGCGCTGTAAACATTTACATACGGTAATTATATGCGGATTTTACAATTTTTAGGGAGAAAATTCTGATTCAACCATGCGATCTACTAAGATTATATACCAATGTATAGAGTGGAAAATTTCCTACAAATTCTGTATGGTCAAGCAATTTTGTCCGTATCATATAAGAAAGTTATGGCGCTGTAAACATTTACATACGGTAAATATACGCTGATTTTGCGGTTTTTAGGGAGAAAATTTTTATGCCACCATGCGATCGACTAAAATTATATACCACTGTATAGAGGGGAAAATTTCCTGCAGATTCTATATGGTCAAGCAATTTTGTCCGTATCATATAAGAAAGTTATGGCGCTGTAAACATTTACATACAGTATTTATACGCGGATTTTGCAGTTTTTGAGGGGAAATGTTCCTAATTCATTGAATCACCAGGTTGCTCCAAATTAGCCTAAGTTCACTAACTTAATGGTTAAATCTTTTAAAGTGAGTAAAATTTTAGAATAATTATTTATATTTATTGTTCACTTTTAATTTTAGGTGTTTCAGGTAAAATATGACGTACAATCAATTTTGTTTTGATATGATTTTTATTATAATATTTAATTCGTTTCCTCGCCCAAAAATAATGTAATTGCGGTTGATGAACGAACGCTACGACTTGCTTAAGACACGATTTTTCATTTTCCTCTTCATGTTTAAACTTAAAAAGTGCATAATTTCCAGTGTTACAACATTTATCTACGCAATACATAGTTGATTCATTAGAAACGCAAGATATTTCATCATTTATATTAATTATTTCGTTGTTACTCTTCGAATTAATCAGTAACGAACCACTTCGTTCGACGCATTTTTCTTCATTACGTTGTAGTACATCCTACGTAAATTATAAATTATAACTAAACATTTTAATCAAAGTTTTTTTATTATTTACCTGAAGCATTTTTTTATGATTTTGAATACATTTTAAGTGTTTTTGTTGACAAAGGTGTCATAATAATTCCAAGAAATCATAAAATAAGACTCAATTACGATAACATAAGTCATAAGTTTATCTTTTCATAAACAAATTTTGTGTATAAAATAATAGTTTCAATGGTTCTTATTTGAAACAGTACTAAAGATTAAAATGAAGGGATTCGACTTAATTTTTTATATTTTAGCGATTTTAATTGTAATATTTCAAGGTATGTTAATTATTATGTTTTTATGTTTATAACTTTTATTTATTCTTGCAGCTTTTACCCCGAGTTTAAGCGAACCAACAGGGAGACAAAGAAAAAATTCTTGCCATGGAAGATATTGTCAAAAAGATTAAATGTTTTTTGAATAAATAACATTAATTTAAAAATCCCGCGTTTTTATTTTAATATGACATAACCTTTAATTTGGTTTTCATAAATTTTAGGTTATGTTAAACGTCAAATTTGGTCAAAACGTCAAAAATCAAAATAAAGAATGTCTTTTTTGGGTGGTTATACTCCAAATTATTTCTCAATCGACGATATATTAGCAACACAAGAACGAACACCGATTAAATTCACCGTTCACGTCCCAAAATTAGGTTATCTTTTAAATTACTTTTAATTAATAACAAATAATTATTGTTTTTTTAGGTAGCACGTTAAATCCTTCAAGCGAAGAGGCCGATATTAAAATAGGAACATCTTTAGAACTCCCTATTTGGTTAATAACACAAATAGCCGTTGGGAGGCAAGCTTTAGCAGCAGCAGATCTTCCCAAAGTTTACAAAGAGGGTTATCGAGAAATTTTAAAAGCAGATCCGCAGGCGGTTGATTTACATAAATTCGGATTATATTTCTATGAATTGGGGAATTATGTTAAAGTTTTTGATAATAAAGGGGATGTTAAAGAAATTTTAATGCACGTAAGTGATATTTTGGGGGTTATGTTTAGTTTTCCCATAGACTTTTACAGGTCGGGTTCGTAAAATAATGGATTTAGCCGAAAATGTAGCTTCAAATCCTAGTGTGCAAGGTACTTTGGATACTTTAGAAAGAAAATTGTTTCGAGATGGGCATAAAGCAAGATCAAAGTTGAATAATTGGCTGGTTGAATCTGGAGTGCCTTTAGAAGCTTCTAATATGGTTATAAATCATAAAAAAAGGAAAAGGGTGGATATTGAAGATGTTTTACTTTAAAAAAAGTTGTATTTATTTGTTTTTAATAAAATCTAATTACATAAAAATATTATTGCCACTTCCAGCCTTTGGTACACATTTCTTTTTAAATCTAAGTTGTTAAAAAAAAGTTATAGGTGTGATTATTTAATTAAATTAATCTATTTGATTATTAATGTTTATTAAAGGCGAGATGATTTTTTTTAAAACGTTTTTATTATAAAAAAAGATCAAAATGATAATGGTAACAATAATTGCGCGACGACGAAAAATAATTAGGGAGCTAATATAAATAAAATAATTACATATTAATTAAAAAAATATCGTTCGTTTACAATCACCTATAAATATAAACTTTGTTATACAAAAAATTGAAAACAAGAGTAGCTATCTATACTTTTGCAATTCCCCAGAAATAATAAAGTAAAAATATGTAGATAAATTCTATTTTAAAACATAAAATTTATAAAAATCAGCAAAAAAAAAAAGAAACAATCTTGTTTTGATTTTAATATTGCTTAAACTTAAAAAAAAAGTATTTTTTTAGAACTCAATAAAAACAATCTTCACAAATCTTAAAGGGTTATCATTTTTTTTTTATCTAATCCTAATATAGGTCACACAAACCCTACTCAAATTGTCTTTAAACAAACAAATAATATAATAAATTGGAAGAAGAAATAACTAAAACAAAGGTAATAACATCGTCTCTGAAAATACCATACATTTTTAATTAAATTATTTTTAACTTAATTCCTAAAAAAAATAGTACCAATAAAAAGGTACAAATTATATTTTTATTTTGTAAAACTAAATAACATTTATATACATAAATAAAAAAATTAGGTTTTATTTATATTTTATTATAGAGGGTGTTACAGATTTAAATTAAAAAAAATGTTTTGGAAATATTTACAATAATCTTCCTCATACTTTTGGGGATAAATAATTGACTCAAACAAAAATTAATATCGGTCAACCAATCTTGTTGTATCATCAATTATAAGAAGTATATTATGGGTGGAGTTAACTTTAGTGATCTTTGAAATCAGCTTTTTATGGGCGTTGATGTTATATTTAAGTGTTAAATTAGTTAACTCAATAGTGAGTATAAAAAAGAAATGTATAAATGTATAGAACAAAGTTTCCAAAAAAAGACATATTATTTTGACCACCCTTGCAATCACATGGTACTTATAGTAAAGCTTCAGCTTTAGTTATTTCCACAACAACCAGATGTAATAATAGATTGTTCGCCCTTAGCTTGAATGAGGTTGTTTGCAGATAAGGCTTTACAATTAATATCATATAATTCCAAAGTTGGGCAAAACAAAGTTTCTAAAAAAAGACACATTATTTTGACCACCCCTGCAATCACTTGGTACTTATTGCAAAGCTTCAGCTTTATTTATTTCCATAACAACCAGATGTAATAATAGATTGTTTGCCCTTAGCTTGAATGAGGTTGTTTGCAGATAAGGCTTTACAATTAATATCATATAATTCCAAAGTTGGGCAAAACATTGACAAAGTTTCTAAAAAAAAGACACATTATTTTGACCACCCCTGTAATCACATGGTACTTATTGTAAAGCTTCAGCTTTAGTTATTTCCACAACAACCAGATGTAAAAATAGATTGTTCGCCCTTAGCTTGAATGAGGTTGTTTGCAGATAAGGCTTTATAATTAATATCATATAATTCCAAAGTTGGGCAAAACATTGCAACTATACAGGGTGGTTCAAAAAACCGCTGACAGACTTTTAGGGCAGGTAATACATCAAAAATTAAGATGAAACGTCTTAATATACATGGGCAAATGCCTCCTTAACGAGATATAGTGGGTCAAAGTTTCGTTAAAATTAAACATTATCTGCAATAAAAAGCCCTTTTTTAAAAATATTTTCAACTCCACTGCTAATTTTGTCAAATGGGCAGTATTTTCTTGTAAAGTGATCAATTATCTATCAATTGGTCTCTTACAAAACTTTGATTAAACAAACGTGTTTTTCTTAAAAACTATTGCTTTGATCAAAGTTGTGTAAGAGACCAATTGATAGATAATTGATCACTTTACACGCGTAGAGAGACAATATTTTTAAAAAAGTGCTTTTTATTGCAGATGTTTAATTTTAAAGAAACTTTGATCCGCTATATCTGGCCAACGAGGCTTTTCCGACCCCATGTATATTAAGATTATTCATCTTAATTTTTCTTGTATTATCTACTCTAGAAGTCTGTCAGCGGTTTTTTGAATCACCCTGTATATTATGATTCTAATTTCATATTAATTGTTGATTTATTTGGTGAGTTTATCTGTTATTGATATACTAAGTATATATAATTTAACTTCAATTAATCATTTATTAAATTAAATTTGTAACACCCTAAATATTACCTAACAAAACGAAAATATTTTATTAAAAGATTTTTCGAGATGTCACAAGAAAAATTTTTTTTATAGAAGATAAGGCAAGTATTTTACATAACAATTTTTTTTTTTTAACTTGTATCTTTTTGTACATAACAACTAGATATTGAGCAAATTGTTTCCGTTCTGTAACTTGTTCAGTATTTCTACTTTTCACATATATTTATATATATTTTTTTATAACTATTCCAGTCTTCATCTAAAAAATTCTTTTGAGCGTTTTTTAATCCCATCTTTTTGTCTTTTTTCCTTATAATCATAGTTTTTTGATCTTTGTAAACTTAAAAAGAATGAGATCATCAAACTTCAAAACGTAACCAAACCAATCAGTAATATCCACCAAAAAAATAAATCTTTTTTTAAATAGATTTTGGTCTTTAAGCACTTTTTTAAACTTACAAATAACCAACAATCAAAAATGTTCTCCAACATCCGTATTAGGTTCTTCTTTAAATGATATATGATAACTTTCTTCATTGATTGGTGTTATATCGTTCATAATAATAACGTTGGTTGTATTTCCACCACCATTTTGTTGAGGACTAAGAACGTTTCCGTTAATTAATTGATCCGATGGACTATGACATTGTCCAGAAGCAATCGGTGACGTTATTGGACTATCAGAAGAGTCGCTTGTATTGTTATTCTGGTAACTGTTGTTGCTGATGTTGTTCGCCGCTGCAACCATTTGCGGCGGCGCTTCTATTGCGCCTGTAACGGAGACTGAATTCTAGTTAATATCCAAAAAATTAACAACAATGAAATAATAAATTATGTAATAACAAGTTTTTCTTCAATTTTATGCCAAATATAAAATCAAATGTTTCTTATCTTACCTCCTAAAAGCATCTCCTGAAGTAAACTATCGATATGAGCGACCCCAAAAAGTTTAGCAAACTGAATTTGTTCAATCATTTGCCAAGTAATTGATTGTAAAGCGGGAAGTGTTAATAAAAGTTCACCAAAACGCCCTCTGCTGTCATATTGTCGATCGCTGATGTAGTCTTCTAAATTGATTTGGATTTGGTATCGAAGGAGTTTGATTCGGTGGGGTTCACTAAGTCCTTTGGCATCTTAAAACGAAATAAAATTGCTATATTTAAAAAAAATTTCAAATTTTAACAGATTTATTTTTAAGATACACACCCCCAGTTTTCAGGCAATAGCGTTTAAAAACGACAATTTTAGCTCACACCTACTTAGAGAAAATTTTGGCACACTTTAAGAAACGTTATAAATAAAACATCGCCGTCGGACGCCTCTTTTATTTAAAATAGAAATTCTCCCAAAACATTATTACGACATATTACGTAAAAAAACATTCCAAAATTATCATCTTCAACAAGTGGTAAACAAATTTTAAAGATTATTTAAATCTAATCAATAAAATTCACAAAAAATATAAATAAAAATTTTTAATTCATCAAAAGCTTTCGCTACATTTTATTACTTTTTGCGTAAAAATATTCGTAATATTCTATGTGCGTCAAAATTGTTAAAGTATTTTCTTTTTCGTGTTGGTTGGCAATAGATCTCGTTCGTTGAAAACCCCGACTGACGTAAAATCACTTGGCTGAGTCTACTAAGCATTAGGGATTAAATTGCGCGAAAATAAACGATTTTAAACAAACTTTAATTAAGCTGTTATTGAAGTATTCAATTAAAAAAAGACTATTGTATCGTTCTATTCCGTCAACAATACGACCTCGAGTTTAAATTTAAAAAATCAAATTATCTACACGGTGTTTTTTTTTCAATAAAAAGGGATTTCCAATAATTCTTTTCTCGTGATAATACAAAAATAACTGTAAGGATGCTACTTAATTGAATTGAATTCGGTATTATTACTTATTATAAAAGGAGATAAGCACGAGATTAAACAACAACAATAAAAACCGAGAACTGTTTAGAGATTAAAGAAGGTTATTATACTTTTTTTCTTAATAATCAATAAGGAAGTAGACGGATTATTTCGAAATACATATTGATCAACAATTAAATTTTGTTTATGATTATTCTGATGATTTTAACTATTAATAGTAGCTTAATCTATAATTTAATATTTAATGGCGATATATTATAAGTTACTAATTTATTTCGAAATGATATAATTGATAACCTTAACAAGTAAAGAGGATAATCAAAATCATACTTAACCTCTAAAAACTCAAAAAGTTAGCAATGTACTTTTTTGCAAGTAATATCTAGTCCCCTATAAGCAACAATTAGTCTTCTACCTGCAATATTCAGTATTGTGCCAGTTATATTTAGTATTTTGCCAGTAACACTTAATCTTCTGGCAGCAATATTCAGTCTTCTGCAAACATTATCCAGTCTTCTGTCAGTTATATTTAATTCTAGTTATATATGCTGTTTTATACAAGCAATACTTGATCTAGTTTTCTGTCAACAGTAGGGTTCTGTCAGCAATATAAAGTTTTTTGCTTTTTGGCTTCGCTAAGTAACATTTAGTCTTCTGCCAACAATATTAAATGTTCTGCCAGCAATATTCAGTCTTCTGCAAACATTACCGTCTCGTCTGATGACGCACGGCTAAACCCGAATGTTTCTAGTTCTCAGTCTAGTGTTAGTTCTAGTTTTGTGCTAGCACTATCACTAGAACTAATACAAGACCTAGAACTAGAATCATTCGGGTTTAGCCATCTTAAGCGACGTACGGCTAAACCCAAATATTTCTAGTTCTCGGTCTAATGTTAGTTCTAGTGACGGTGCAAGTGTAATAATTGAATTAACACTATACCTAGAACTAGAATCATTTGGGTTTAGCCGCACGTCTCTAAAGACGGCTAAACCCGAATGATTCTATTTCTAGGTATAGTGTTACTTCTACATAGTAATTAGGCTGGTGTAAAACTAGAATTAACACTATACCTAGAACTAGAATCATTCGGGTTTAGCCGCACGTCTCTAAAGACGGCTAAACCAGAATGATTCTAGTTCTAGGTATAGTGTTACTTCTACATAGTAACTAAGCTGGTGTAAAACTAGAACTAACACTATACCTAGAACTAGAATCATTCGGGTTTAGCCGTCTTTAGAGACGTGCGGCTAAACCCAAATGATTCTAGTTCTAGGTATAGTGTTAGTTCTACATAGTAACAATGCTAGTCTAAAACTAGAACTAACACTATACCTAGAACCAGAATCTGAAGCGCACGTCTCTAAAGACGGCTAAACTTGTTTTAAACTAGTTAGTTTTCCAAGCTATGTCACATTTTATGTGGGACAGTGCAATACCAAGTTTTCCATTAGCTATATTTAATCTTCTATAACCACGATCTAATGTTCTGCCAATAGAGTCTTTCATTAATACTATCTACTTAGTTCTATGTCAGCAGTATAAGATGATCTATTCCTTAATCCTCTACCAGCAGAAGATGATATAAGATGTATTCCTGGGTCATAGATACGAAATCAGCTCTATTCGGCCCTCTTTAAAAACGTTTATCAACAGGTTTCTCGTCAGCTGATATTTTCTCCTTGAAGATAATTCATTTCATCTTGTACCATTCGGGTTACGCCTAATTATGAGTATATTTATAGATCTCATAGCGCTTATTCCTGGATCAGAGTTACGTGATATTACAATAATCACGATTTTTTCTAGTATTAGGTTGTCTTTATTTTGAGATTCGAAAATGAAAGTAATTTAATTCCCAATAGATGAGTAATCAAACACAAACCAGATCTGACATAAACCCATCGTAGATCCGACCCGAATTTTGGCTACCTCTCAGGATAGCTTCAGCTATGGTTACCACATCGACGAAGTGATGGATTTATACGCGAGTGATGTATTTCCTGTTGGAAATGTACTATGATTCAGTGTAACTTGTATTATAGCTAGACTGCGTTAGACTATTAGAAATCCCTGCATCATTAATCTTAGAAACAGGCACACCATATTAGTTTCAATTAACTTCCATATGCACCTTTGCAATAAATTGGTGGTGGACTGATCGATCACGTTACTGAAATCCTAGGCTATGAAAATAATAGGATCTTCGTTTTTTAGGGATATGCTACCCGCGGTTAATCAGTCAGAAAAAGTTTTTGACAAGCAGTTGATGTCAGGTCACAAGAATTTCTGATTTCAGAAAGAATTAGGGATTGGTTTGTCTTCCATTGCAGACCAATGTTTATGATATAAGGAATATAGATAAAAAATCTTAAGTAAATTTAAACTAGTTACTTTTAGCTTCAAGGCCAACCCAACCCAGCTTATATCGTAAATAAAGAATGTTATAGTAATAATTTGTAATAAGTGAATAAGACACTTCAAAACACATTCAAACTTTAAATGTTGCGAGATTAATTCCAAATGTCAAATGGTTTAATTTTTGCTAATGAATAGCTAGTTTAAGGCCCACTTTTACCATCCTCCTGATAAGCTATCTAGAGGATGGTTGCCATGGTTACGGCGGTTTTAAGCACTCTCATTGGCTAAGAGCTGGATTTATCTATCGGATCAATTTATCAAGAGGTGGTAAAAGTGAGCCTAAATATGATTACTCGCGCTTGGAAGAAATGCCATGAGTGTGTAAACCAAATTAGTAAACAAATTTAATTCCAAAAATATTGAATGATTAATTTTTTATATTAAAAAGTTAAATTAAGAATTACTTACTTGGATCGAAAAATACAATCGCTTTAAGACAGGCAAACTCGGTATCGTCAACTTGAACTTCCGTCATCGGTTTAACGAGTTCATCGATAATCCTGCTGCCGACCCTGGAGATGTCCAAATCCGGTGAAATTCTGGAGTCTGATAATACCATTACTGTGTATGATTTCGACAAAACATTATTCGCACTACCGTACATTTGCCGTTGTCCTCTTTTTTTAATTTCAAATTCAAACTTTTTTCAGTTCAGGTTAGTCACTTAATCATGCTTAAAAAATATCGTTTATTTTTTGTCCAGTAATTTTGTAATTTTTACAAAATTATTGTTTGTATTACCGTATCATACAATAATGTAGGCGATCCAAGGTTAATAATAACGCTTCTCTCTCCCTCTTTTTTTGTTTCATCCGTATGTAGTTTATAATTTTTTTTTTTGAAACTAAATACGAATTAAATTCCCTAATGATTTTCTAAAATGAGGCAACAAAAAAAATGTATAAAAAATGATTATGTGAAACGCATGCAAACGTTATTAATTTTGTGGATGGTGATGGGCAAATGTACGGACATGCTGTTCTACTAACTAATACACAAAAATAAAACTAAAAATAATAAAAACTATAACCCAAAAAAAAAAAATAAAAGTTAATCATTAATAATACATTTTATATTAAAATATTTAAAAAATGTTAAGGCGATAAATTAATATTTATGCAATCCGAAGCGATAAAAATAAATTATCTGACCCAGTCAAGGTAAAAAAAAAACGAAAAAAAAAATTGTGTCCCATTTACGTTCTACTCATGCGAGTTAGAGAAAAAAATTAAATAACAAATGGAAAGTTTTGCAAAAGCAAACTTAACGTTTCTAATTTGAAATGTTAACGTTTTCAAAATGAGACACATAAATTACTTAAAAATAACCCAATTTTATAACTTATACATACCTGGACAATGTTTTGTAATTATACAGTTATTCCCCAACAATAAAATGTCTTTAAGATGCATAGATCGACGTGCTAATCCTAAAAGGAGATGTTCACCTGCGTGCGCCCTCAATAAAGCTACCTAATAACAATAAAGAAAACTACAATTATTTATAATCTAGATTTATTATTTTTTATTAATTTTTACACTTCACCAACACACCTCAATGTATGGCAAAAAAAGCCTGCAATTATCACATTCAATTCCTGCCCATAATAAAAAAACTTGTTGAGATAACTTTCGAAACACCTTCAAGTTATAAATTCAGGCATTAAATGAGACGAATTTAAAGGGCGGGAAAAATTGATTGGTATGGATCAAAATAGTTCTAGTTGATCAAAAACATCTACAGAATACTTAAAGAGGACGAAAGAATTAATTTCACGATTTTTTAAATTGTTATAAAGATAGCAGGAAACACAAATTGCTTGTTGGTGTTTGTTAAAGTGATTCTAGTTCATTAAAAATAAATTGCGGTGTTTTGGCAAAAACAATGCCAGTTATTGGCATTAAAATTGATGGTTTTCAGAAAATTTAAACACTATAGAATAAAAAAACCGGTTTGGTGTGAATCAAAATAGATTAAGGAGGATGACAAATAGAAATTGTTTATTGGTGTGTGTCAAAATAATACTAATCGATTAGAAACATAAAAATAATATAAAAGAATACGGAAAAAGCTGATTGGTATTAACCAAAATACTTGTAGTCTACCTAAAAGACCTCTATAAATGAGGATGAATTGAATAAAAATAAAATGAGGTTGAAGACAATACTTTTCTAGAAGAAGACAGCTATCTGCTAAAAGAAGCCTTGATACTGCTCACCAAAGACTATACATTACTGTCAAAAGACTACTTATTGCTTGTAAAAGACCACATTCTCCTGCCTAAAGACTACTAACTGCTTGGAAAGCGGAGATATTGTTGCGAAAAGACTACTTATTACTTTCAGAACGGTAGATAATGCTGAAATAGATTGCGACATGCTTGGAGAAGGCTAGATAGTGCTGGAAAAGACAATGATCTATTTGGAAAGGCGAGATATTGCTTCCACCTAAGGTTTCCAGAATGTTAAATACTGCTAGAAAAGACTATTATCTACTTGGAATAGCGGAATATTACTTCCAAAAGACTACTCACTGCTTTCAGAAGACTAGATACTGTTGGCAAAGACTATGACATGGTTGGAAAAGACTAGATACTGTTGGCAAAAGACTACCTAGTAACTGCTTGGAAAGAAAAGAAAAAAAAAACTCTCGCGATTAATCTAAAAATTAAATGAATGGAACTTCCTCAGATTACCATATTTACCATATTTAAAGAAATTGTATTCCACAAATAACACTTAATTGAGCAAAAAATAAATAAAAACATCATGTAAATATGACACTTACCATAATAATCAATGATCTATTTATTTTGTAAGCATGAAAATGGTTTATTATAAATAAAAAAATTATCTTTGCAAAGCAAATTACTTACTTGGTCGTCTAATTGAAGTTCCGTAAACGCAGGGATGTATTTGGCCCATTCAACCAAAATTAATAATTGTTGTTTCATTGATTCGCACACATCATTGATGTTGGCAAGTTGTTTGTTACTCAAATCGTAATCATTAATAGGCGAAGATCCCTATTGTTAATGAAAAAAAGTTTTTGTAATTGATTCTTTAAGAATTTAAGGGTTACCTCTAAAGCTGCACCAACTTGTCTTGATAACATTTCAGCATTTAATAAAGAAGTGACCGATAACCCATTTGTTTGGGAATTTTCTTCATAAGACGGCCTTCGACAACTAATTCGATCTCTTTCGTTTTGTACAGCTAAAAAAATTTGAATAAGAAAAAAATTGTTTTTATAAATAAGAATGTTGGGTTACCTTCTTTTTTCATTCCAGCTTTAAAACATTTTCTTAACCTACAATATCTACATTGATTTCTTTTATCTTTATCAACGACACAGTTTCTGGTGAATCTAAAATATTAAAATTTTTTTTTCTTAATAGATAGTTTGTAATAAAACTTAATAGATCAATTATAATTAATTTTTGAATTATAAACACGTGCGTAGTTGCGTAATTTAATACAAGTGTGTTAAACGATGATCGTTTACAAAACTGTCCTTCAATTTACCGACGTAAATTTCAATGAACTAAAATTTTTGAAAAAATTCTTTCTAAACTTAAAGATCAAAGTCCAATTATATGATGATTTAGCAAAAATTAAGAATTTATTAATAAATTTATTATTATTTAACATTTTCAATTGAATATATTGGGAATTCTGATTATTTTTCTGTGGCAAACTGGGTATGCCACAAAGTTCAAAAAGCAATAAAAAGCTTAACATAATTAATGTCGATACAAACAATTAATCATACATGTTATTTTTAATTCTAAGTAATCAAACTTTTTCTATTTCTTCTGTTCTCATGACACATGTTTTTATTATCAAAACCAAAACGATGACAAATTTGCACAAGACTAATTAATCATTTTTAACTTACTAAGGAAAATACTTCATCCGTTTCAACAGAAAAGAAAATAAATGATTCGATTGACTTTTTATGGTAAAAACAAGATTTCTCTTTGTTTGAGTAAATTTATCTCACCTGCATGTATATAAATGGTTTTTCCGTACAGATCTTCTAAAGAATCCTTTACAACCGTCACAAGACGCCGCGCCATAATGTTTCCCTGTAGCTCTATCACCACAAATGGCACAATGTTGACTTAGAGTAGCTCCTGCATTTGATCCGGTGCTACTCAATGATGTGGCTAGCGAATTATTGCCAGCCATCGTCATATCAGAATCTAAAACAAATAAGAAAAACGTTATGTAACTCTATTTGTATAAATCTGTTGATTTAGTTTGTTCTTTAAACACCATTAACACGAAATAAAGTAGTTAACTAACCACAAATTAAATGCATTTATTTAGTGTGTGAAGGTCGATAACGTTTAAAGAAAATTTTAAAAAATATATCGTTTTTTTTCAAGGCTTTCAACATGTTTATTTATTCTATTTCAACTTAATAACATCTCTATTTGCAAAAAAAGGCACGTGTAAAATGCAAATTAATTTATTAATGAAACCTAAAACTTTTATATATAAATTAATTTCGTTGAATTAAAAAACATTGATTTTCTTAATAACTTAATAAACATATTTTGTTATGTTTTAACAAGGTAAGTAAACGCATGGCATGTAAAAGTACATTGGTTATCCGAGTTGTGCACAACTTGTTGGACTTTGGACTCAAAGCATGATATCTCAACAGTTATTAGAACCTGTGTATTAGTTTATTTTTTGCATTTATCGTTTCTTGTTTGTGAAATCAATAAATTAAAATTATTAATTTTAATACAACGCAATTAATAACGTTATAAGTAAATACGATGTTTTCTCTACTTCTCTCTGATTCAAACATTTTATGAAAGTGAAATTCAACGCGGGTGGAATGAATGAAACTCTCACTCGGAGAACTTTTGGGACGACAATAAGTAGTCTATTTATAAATGCCTTTCAACTCAACTTCAAAAAAGATTACTTTAACATCGCGGGGGAACAAAAAAAGAAAAATATTTAATGCTTAATTGTCATTGACCTTGACAATATGTTCGCGTTATGTAATGGCATTCTGAATACATTTATGTGTGGAGAATGCAAATAAAAATTTTTTTCAAAAAGGGATAAGAAAGATTGTATTTATTGATTTTTGAAAAAAAATTTATTGTTTGAAAACGATTGTTAATTTTATGATATTCTTAATTAATCTTCATGAAAAATCCTTTAAAATGAATTCAAACACGACATATTTAGCAATTAAACATTCCCAGATACCTTAAATTTTATTTTTTGAAAAATCCAAGATTGCCGAAAACAAATGATTCATAAATATTAACGTGGGTAATTAAAAAACAATTTAAATGAGCCCAAACTCGACATATCTAGGTATTATAACACCCGAGATATCATTATTTTTGTAAAATCAAGATGGCCGAAAACAAAACACTAATTCAAAATGTCAACTATGTTTTTAAAAGTGAATTTTATAATAGATATAGGTTGTGATACATCAAATTAGGTTAAAATTTTCTGCTTATTACGAAAATGTTAGTCTTTTTGATGAATTTGAATTTTTTTTTTTATTATTAAATTAATATCAAATTCTAATCTCGTTAATTAATTATAGTATTTTTCTACCTGTTAATTTTGTGTATATAATATTTTGTATGATTGATTCATGTCTTTTTTAGCTTTAATTTGATAAAACTATCACTTCTATTAAACTAGAACTAACACCACCAGTATCACTAGAACCAACACTAGACCTAGAAACTTTCGGGTTAAGCTGTACTCCTTTTGAAAAAGTGTTTAACATTTCGGATGCCATGTTGCAACCTTCTTCAGAAACAAGTTCAAAGTGTTAGTTCTAGTTTCAGTTTAATTAACATTAATTAACTAAACCCGAATGATTCTAGTTGTAGGTCTTGTGTTAGTTCTATTGATAGTGGTGGTGTAAAGCTAGAACTAACCCTAGAACTAGAAAGTATCAAGAAATATATATAGAATATATTCTGAATACATTTGTGTGGAGAATGCAAATAAAAATTTTTTCAAAAAGGAAAAAGAAAGATTGTATTTATTGATTTTTGAAAAAAAATTTATTGTTTGAATACGATTGTTAATTTTATGATATTCTTAATTAATCTGCATGAAAAATCCTTTAAAATGAATTCAAACACGACCTATTTAGCAATTAAACTTTCCCAGATACTTTAAATTTTATTTTTTGAAAAATCCAAGATGGCCGAAAACAAATGATTCATAAATATTAACGTGGGTAATTAAAAAACAATTTAAATGAGCCCAAACTCGACATATCTAGGTATTATAACACCCGAGATATCATTATTTTTGTAAAATCAAGATGGCCGAAAACAAAACACTAATTCAAAATGTCAACTATGTTTTTAAAAGTGAATTTTATAATAGATATAGGTTGTGATACATCAAATTAGGTTAAAATTTTCTGGTTATTACGAAAATGTTAGTCTTTTTGATGAATTTGAATTTTTTTTTTTTTCTTTATTAAATTAATATCAAATTCTAATCTCGTTAATTAATTATAGTATTTTTATACCTCTTAGTTTTGTGTATATAATATTTTCGATGATTGATTCATGTCTTTTTTAGCTTTAATTTGATAAAAATATCACTTCTATTAAACTAAAACTAGAACTAACATTACCACTACCACTAGACGTAGAAACTTTCGGGTTAAGTTTTTTCTTTTGAAAAAGTGTTTAACATTTCGGATGCCATGTTGCAACCTTCTTCAGAAACAAGTTCAAAGTGTTAGTTCTAGTTTCAGTTTAATTAACATTAATTAACTAAACCCGAATAATTCTAGTTTTAGGTCTTGTGTTAGTTCTAGTGATAGTGTAAAACTAGAACTAACACTAGACCGGGAATTAGAAACATTCGGATTTAGCCGCACGTCTCTCAAGACGGCTAAACCCGAATGATTCTAGTTCTAGGTCTTGAGTTAGTTCTAGTGATAGTGCTGGTGTAAAAGTAGAACTAACCCTAGAACTAGAAAATATCAAGAATATAATAATAAATTCACTGTATATCACTTCTAGCTCTAAACCATTTAGAGGAAATTGAAAATCTAAAAATACCGAGTTATTGTATTTTGAAATCTACAAGTTTCTTGGTTAACGGAGAACACGTTTAAAAACATTGTAATATTTTAAATAATGAAAATGTTTTCACAGAAAAATCTCCCAGTTAAAACATTAAAAACAGCAATCATTTATTAAAGAGTGAAATCCAAGAATTTAGTGATAATTGTTTAACAACACAAATAAATTACAACAAACACATAAAAAAAAAATATAAATATTTTTACACAGAAATAAATAAAATTTATTTGAGTGTTATTTAATGGAAAGTTACGCTCACCAATTACATTGGTTAAATTGTCTACTTTTTTTGTTGTTAAAATGAACTTATTTATTAAACAAATAAGTGATAATCGAGCAATTATTGACACAAAAAGATAAATTAGTAAAAATCACTCATGTTTGTGATTAACCAAATTAGAACAATACATTTGTTCTTAACTATCTTTTAAATACTATTTAATTCTAAATTGTTATTTAAAAATAAATTTGTTCATTATTTATTATTAATAGGAATAATTTTTTCGTTTATCTTTAATGAAATGTAACATTTATTGGAAAAAATTATGATAATAAATCCGTTATCTTAAAAGAAACGAAGATAAAAATAAACGATTATAATTCGATAAATAAGATAACAAAGATAAAATTTAATATCAAATTTTATCATTTTTTTTTTATATCAATTAGAATAGAAAAATCAATGGAAATTTTTGATAAATAACTGTTAGTTTTTTATGTTGATAGTTTTATTTAATGGGTTGAATTTGATCATAAACAATCGTGTGTTGGGACCCTATCGTCTATCATTGTGTCATGAAAGAGCCCCTCCTCCAATAAAAGCAAATATGTTTTAAGAGGAGAACATCTCCTGACTTACAAAACTGCGTCTACGTTCGCCTTGAATAACTATTTTCGTTTCGCCTAACGCCTAATGACAAATTATTTTTTATAAAAATAGATAAGTTTTAATTTTTAACACAACAAAAAATTTTTTAACATTTATTATTAAAACCATAAAAATTAAAACAAAATTATTTAGAATTAAATTTCGTATATACAATATTTATGCGACCTTCAAAATCTTTGATGTTACTGGCGCGTGTCTGCTAATCTCAATATTGAGTCTAATTATAATAATTATTCGTCATTTATTGATGTGTAACTGAATCGAAATTTGATAAATTCATTTTAATCGGGGAATAAAACAAAGATGTTTGCGGATTTCATCAACAATTAATCACCAAATCCTTGTAACAAACGGAATTCCATTCGAATTCTTTTCTTTTTTTTCCTTTCTTTCTTTGTTGACGACATGTAATTACATGATAAAAACGTTGTTTGTTCTCAAAACGTTATTATTCATCCAGAAATGTGTAAGCAAAATAAAAAAGAAACCTAAACGATTTTATAAATTGACTTAACATTTTTGCAAAACAAATTATTTATGAATTAATTTAGATCGCGTAAATGGGTCGTTTAAAATTAAAAACGATCCGACCATTTAAACGTTTTAATGACTGCAATTAAAGTGATATGCAGTTTTTCTCTATTAAATAAAATGTTATTATCAAAAACCGGTTTCTTCTCATTTTTTTCGCAATGTCTGCTTCATAGAATGGTTCATGCCTTACTGAGTACACATTAGTGAAAATTATCAGGCTATATTCCATCTAGGTCTTCAACTTTTTCTGCTAACATATTATTATTTAACAAGGCATTAAAGTCTGTCATTTCCATTCAATGATCTTATTAAAGTGAACATCATGAGCAATTCCAAGAATCTGCCGAAAACAAAGGTTCCAAATGATTTAATTAGTTTCGAGACAAAATGTACTGCAGCAGAACTAACCATTTTCGAGGCTATGCCACCTTCATTAATTCTCCTTGATATTTCTTGGCTGTTGGAAATGCTGTAGTTTGGTATTTGCTGTTTTCATTGCATCTATTATAATTAGGTGATGGATTACTATGTTCAGTAAACTTGCAATTTTTAGCTTGAGTTCTTCTTATGTGGACATAGTTAGGTATAACTACTTAGCACCAACTCATACACAAAAGATATGATATTGTTAGAAAAGACTCAAAACTTTGTAAAGACTTTGTAAGCATGGAAATGTAAA